GAGGGGACCGGCTTATGCTGGGGACTTGTCTGTGTTTGGGGTCAAGCTGCACCTCCGTCCTGATCCAAGGGTAGAAGGGACCTGCCGTGCAGCCAGGCAGCACTGAGATTCAGGGGTCTCTTTGCCCTCCTCATCAGTGCCCAGGTGAACCAGTGCCTTGTGCCTGGCCTTTAGAACTGAGAGCATGATGTTGGGGGGGGGAACCATGAAAGGGCTCTTCAGGTGCCAAGAAAAGCAGTCTCCAAAGACAAAGAGACTGCCCAAAATGGATGAGGAGTGCAGATCCCCCCAGAGGCAGGGAAATTATTAATAACAGCAGTGGCATTTTTGTGCTAGCTGGCCTACCACCGCGGGCTCCGGCTGCTTTGCCTCCCTCTATGATGGGCACAGGCTGGGACCCCCCATCTGAACCCCAAACCCCTGTGGTACAGCTGTGGTGATGCCGTGTGCGTGTCCTGCAGGACACGTCTCGGCTTCATCTGGGTTTGGCCAGGCTCACTCTGCCTGGAGGGACAAGGGCAGGGAGCTGCCCCCCCAGCACGCTGAGATCCCTATCTTGGCTTTGTTTTTGTGTTGCAACCGGAGGGGAAAGAAAAACCAAAACCCCAACAACCCTTTCGGTGCCTGCAGATGAGGGCTTTGTGTCGTAGGCTTGTTTCTCCCCCCCTGCCTTTTCCAACATCCATTTGAACCTTTCACCGCTTTCCCCGCTGGAATGCAGTGGGTTTGCCGGAGCCGGGAGGTTTATTCAGCAAATCTGGCAGGTTGTGTGCTGGGATAAAGCATCCAGGTGTGCTCGGCAGGGCTGGCGAGGGGGGTCTGCGGGCTCCCTGTGCACTGGGCAGCAGTGGATGCGATGGAGACGGTGCCAGCCTTGCCTGGCCGTGTGCGGGGAATTTCCCTCCTTGTGCTTGCCTTCTGGCTTGGCATCTTGATGGGACTTGTTGGGAAGCGGCTCATGTGATGGGTGGTTTGGTGGGGGGAAACCAGTGCTGGGGATCCGCTGGCTCTCAGGGAGTGAGGGAACGATGCCCCCACGGTTTCTGATGTTCCCCTATGAAAGGCAGTGGCTGGCTGCTGGGCTGGTGACTGTTCCCGATCAAAGGTGAGAGCTCCCTGCCCCGCTGGTGCTTCAGGAGGAAACGCTGTCGTGTCCCTCCTTGCCCAGCTCCTGGTGATTTACAAGCACGAGGGCTTTGCTGTACCAAGGTCATCACCAAACCCACCCCTCCTTCCTCCTGGGGCACAAACTCCCCTGTTCAGAGATGAAGGAAGAGGATTCCAGGCACTGTGTTACCGAGCAGGGCCAGGAGGCAGCTTGGCCATTCAGGCTGTGCTGTGGGTTCTGCTTTTCTTGTTGCTTAAAAGCTCCCCCGAGCAACAACCCCACCTCCCGTTACCTGACGGAGGGCTCTCGTTTGCCTGTTGCAAAGCCCAGCCCATGCAAATAAGGCGGGGAGCTGATTTTGGGGCGGCAAAGCTGGTGGTATGCAAACGACTGTGGGAAAGGCCAGGTGCTGCTCCTGGCGCTGTGCAGGTTTGAACGCGAAGCTGAACATGAAATCGGGTTTGACCCCAGATTTGAAGCTTTGTCAGAGGGAAAGCAAAGGAAACAGGAGGTTGTTAAAGCTGGAAGCCATAAAAGCCGCTCTCGTCATCTGGACTTGCGAAAGAAAACAGTTTATCTTTGGAATAAATAAAAGGGAGAGGGCCAGGCTTGCAGCAGGAAGCCCCACGTTCACACAAGGCAAGGTGGGCTGTGCTGCAGCTCTTGCCCCTGCTTCCAAGAGGATGCCAGGTCTTGCATGGTTTCTGAGCCTCAGTTTCCCCTCGGGGAAGTCCCGCGCCACGGTGATGGTGGGAACTCCAGGCATTGCCAGGAAACGTCTTTGAAACTCAAACCTGGCTTTGGAAAAAGAACTGGAAGACAAACCGGCTCTGAACAAACACCCAAGTTAATGCCTTGTCTTGCATTGTATGCACCCAGTGAAATGAAACACGGTGCAACCATGAGGACGAGCGAGTGGATTCAAATGCATCAGAAAGTCCCAAAATCTGCTGGCTCTGAAGTATCCCTTTACATGTAGGGTTGGGATTATTTTTTTTTTTCCTCATTTTCCTTCTAATTGTTCCTGGGAATTTAATTCTACAATTATTTTCCTGCTTCTGCCGAGGAGACAATGTGCTTCAGCCACAAAGCCTTTGAAGGCTGAACTGCAGAGCCCATCCAGCGCTGAGCTACTTGGATGTGAACATCCCCTTTGCTGGGAAAATTCATTGTGATGTGGAGGGGAGTCTGTCCAGCTCTCTCTCTGTCTATCCAGCCACCAAGGGGCTGCAGGCAAGCAGCAAAGCTTGGCATGCCGCAGATGGGAAGGATGGAGAAGGTGGTGGTTTGAGAGTGGTGTCGCTAGCACCGAGCATGCTTCTTCCATGTGATGGAGGAGGTGGGAGCCTCGGGTCCGCATCCTGGGGCTTGGTGGCTGCATTCTGCCTCCCCAGCGGCCTGGGGCTGGTGATAGATGAAGTCAGAGTCAGGTCAGAGTCTCAGCATCATCCAGTTCCACTTCCCAGTTCCTGCGTGGCTCCTGGCTGGGCGCTCCGGTGCTCCCAGGCTGCAGGGTCAGCCTGGGGCTGCTCCGGTGGGGTTTCTGCAGGGGTAGACGTGCTGCATGGGAGGGAAGAGCCGCAGGTACTGTGTTCTCACTGAGAGCTTGCAAGAGCCAAATGGCCTCTGGCACACAGGGAATTGCTTCTGTGAGGGGAGATTTGCTGTGTTGCCCGTGGGTGCCAGGTCTGGGCTGTCTGGGACATCCCTTAGAGCTCTTGATCCCGTCATGGGACTCCTTCAGCCTCCCCTCCTTGTACCCTTCGCTCCAGCTCCAGCTCTGAGCAAGGCTTTTGGGGTGATGGAGCCAGGTGAGGAAGTGTTTCATTCATCAGCTGGGTTTTCCATACAGACGGGGAGCAGAGGAGTGCTCTGTCCTGCCATCCTGGGCATCGTGCTCTTGCCGTCTGCTTGTGGCATGCCGGGAGCTGCTGGAGCAGAGCCATCCTTATGCCTGGCAGGTGGCTGCAGGCAGGTGATGGTTGCCCATGGCACAGGCCAGAGCAGCTTTCCTTATTCTCCCAGTTGGGGTTTTTGGGGTGGGTTTGGATGGGAATGGCAGGAGAGCTCTCCCTGGGACTTGGCAGTGAGCTCCGTTGCTGCCTGACAGCCCCTTTGAACCTCCTGCTCCACATCAGACCTGACCAGATGGAGGAGAGGAACGAGTTCTTGTAAGATCAGTGAAAACAGGAAGCTGGGGAGAGGCTAAAACACCCCGATCCCTGCAGCTATGCAGGGGGACACCCTGGCTGGTCCCTGCCCCTTGCTGGGCAGGCGGCATTCCCCAGGGATGCTGCAGGGGGATGGAGATAAAGGCATGGCACTGGAGGCAGTGGGGTGAATCTGTCGGATATTTGGCTGTTGTTAGTTTCATTGCTGATACATCAGCTTGTCTTTTCGGGATGTTTAGATGTCTGGCTCCTGCCAGCACTGGTGCCCTTTAAATCCCCATCCCCATCCCCAACTGGCTCCTGTTGCGCTCCCATCCATCACTTTGCTCCATCGTGCATCTTCTCCCTGCCATGACCTTTGTGGGATCAGGGTTGGGCGCTCTCTTGTACTGGATGTACAAGGGCTCTGCTGGTGGTGGATGGGGCTGTGTCATGCCGGGGAGAATAAGAGCCCATTCCCATGGCCCGCCTGGCTCCACAGTGGCTGTGCTGCGAGCAGGGGCTTTACAGCGGGAACAGGGCAGGATGCTCCTTGGGAGGAGGCGATGTTGCTGCTCCCCCTCTCCTCTGTGCTTGAATCCCAAATTTGGGTAAAAGAGGGATATATCTGCTTCCCCAATCGCTGAAGCTCTTGTGCGTGTCTGCTGAAGCGCCCCAGGGTCAAGCATGGTTTTGTTTAAAGAGAGCAACTAAAATAAACTCGGTGAGGGGCTCCCAGGAGGTCACTGTGCTCCTTCCCTCCCCGGCCCCCAAGCCCAGCGCGGGTCCCCTCTGCCCTGAGGGCTTCCAGCAAGTTTGGGGGTTTTTTTCTTGCTGTTGTTGACAAAAGTCCCAGCTGGTTGGGAAATATCCATGCGGCAGTGCTAGCCCAGTCCCACGGGTCAGATCCTGCCTGCAAACCTCTGCTGGGAAGGGCCGCTTGTCCTGGGCTGGCCTCTGGGGATGCTGCTGGGGGCGCAAAGGGGAGGCAGCCATTGCTTTGCAGGGCAACTTGGGCCTGTGGCCATGAGCAAGCCCTTGGGATAGATGGATGGATGGATGGATGGATGGATGGATGGACACCATGAGCTCCAGGGGGACCTGATGTTTTATCATTTGCTGGTTGGGCTCTGCGGCAAAAGCAAAGTGCTGGAAGTTCATCAAGGACTGAATTAAAGTTGCCTGGCAACCTCCATCCCGGCTCTTCCCACATCTCGCAGGATTTCCCACTCAAGGTCTGTTGGCTCCTGGGAAGGGGAGCCTGAAGCACACTGCGCTCGCAGCCATGCAGGGGCCAGGCTTGCCTCTCACTGGATATCTCATTTCCTGTAATTCCTTGGCTCATTCCCACGCCTGGGACCTGGGAGCTCTCCCCACCTCATCCCCCAGGGCAGGTGCCTTTCCCCCTCTCCCTGCACCAGGAACGGGTCTGGCTGTTTCAGCTGAACCCGGGGGCAACTCACACAGGTCCTTGGAGGTGTAAAATGGTGCTGGGCCAGTGGGAACACAGTGGGGAGCCGAAGGGACCTGGGGGGGGTGGGGGGTGTCAGATAGGTAAAGCTGAATTGGCTGCACAGGGTTTGGAGTGCTTGGGCTGGGCTGTTGTGATAAAGCAAGGTGTAAATGTAAACCCTGTCTCCCTGCGCAGTCCTACCAGGAGTTCTCTTGAGGCTGTTTTGCATCTCCGTAACCTGGAGGAGATCCACTGGGAAGCCAGCAGTGCTTGCTGGTAGGGGTGCGTGATGCCGAGGTGGGGGCAACCCATGAGGAGGGGAGAAAGGTCCAGGAGCCTGCTCGGGCTTTACTAGAGCCTTGTGGAGCAACCACAAGCTGTCCCTGGAGTAGCGGGATGGGGAAGTGTCCCATCCCACTCTGCAGCTCTCTGTTCTGCCATGCAGGGTGGATGCTGGGGGTGAGCCAGAGAAGGGCAGCTCCCACCCAGCATTTCCATTTTTTCCCCTTTAAATTAAACAACCAGCATCATTTTTGGCCGTGCTGCCAAGGAAACAGCCATGGGAAGCCTGTAAGATCCTGGCTGAGGTCCCTCCATGTTTGCCAGCCCCACTGACAGCGCAGCTTCCCCGCACTGCAGCATGCAGCGGCTCTGGCTCCCAGGGCTCCCTGCCTTATGGCTTTGAGGACCACGGGGCAGCAGGAAGGGGCCACCATGCGCAGCAGAAGCTCCCGGCGCAGCGGCTGCTGAGGGGTGCGGCAGCTTTGGCCGGATCCAGGTTGTTGGGAGCTGCCGCTGGGAAGTTCACTCATCAAAAGGCTCCAGAGACGCTGGTCGTGGGGATTTGAAGGAGGTGCCGCCTGGGCCGGCTGGGTTGGGTGTGCTGTGCTGTGCTGTGCTGTGCTGTGCCCTGAGCCTGGCTGCTGGTGGGAGGCTGGGGCCGGCACAGTCATGCTCACACAGCTTCCGCCGTGACCCAGTAAACCCAGTCAGACCTGACCGGGGCTCACTCGCTCCCCTGCACGCTCACGCACGCCTGCCTGCCTCTGCTGCCGCACTGCTTTCCTCGTGCTCCGCCGAGCCCAGCAAACCCGTTCCACCAGCGGGAGACAGCACTGGGAGCCGCGGCTGCATCCCGCAGGAGCACCGGTGGCCGGCGGTAGGAGCGGGGCTTCGGCCTCCATGGATGTTGCACATTGAGATCGGAGCGGTTGGTTCCTCGTGGGGGCCGTCAGCCCTGCAGCTGGATCCTGCCTCTGCCACCCTTCTCCTTCAGCGTTGCTGGCCAGGGCAGGATTTGGGGCTGGATTGCAGGTCCTATGTCGGGCCCCCCTGCGCTGGGAAGTAGGTGAGGTGCCACGGGGATCAGGAACTTGGGGTGGGATGGGCTTTCCTGGGTGTTTTTTCTCTTAAACCTCAGGTTCCATTGGAGCTGCTGCTGCTTTTCAGCCTCTTTTCCCCACCTCCCACAGGGAAAACTGTGGTGTTTCTCCTCCTGGCTTTTTCCTGTTTCCCATGGGAGTGCTGGGCTTGAGCAACCCACCTGCCGCCAGCCCTACCAGTGGGTCCCACGGACCGAGACCTCCTCTACCTCCCTCCCTGACCTTCGCTTCCACCCAGAGCTTTGAACTTGTACCCTCCCAAGGGGAATGATGGGTTTGGGGGTGTTTGGTGCGGCAGCAGTCTGGCGTGACGATCTGAGCGGGGTCAAGGATGGTTTCAGTTCCTCCTTGCTCTTTCTCCTCCATCCTAGGTATAAAAAACACAAGCAGAGAAGCTCAGAGCAGCCCTTCCCTTCAAGTAAAAGATTAACTGGCTCATAGAGCTGATTAAACGTCCTGTAGGACAAAGTTACATCTGATCTCAAGGAAAGGAGCCTTTGGAAATGAGTGGAGCTTCTCCCCTATTAAAAACAGAGGATCCCAGCCCTGGCAGCAGGGGAGGCTGCTCCCCACTGCCCCTGCCTGCCTGGGAACCCTGCACAGCCCCACACCTTAATTCACTGTTTTTATTCACCCCCCCCATGCTGGCTCGATGCTGACTCTGGTTAAACGTTAGCCAGGGCTGGCTGGCATCGTGGTGCTTGCCCTGTGATAAGCACCATCCCTGCCTCCCTGCCCAGCCATGCTCCCAGCTCCAATCCCTGTCCCGTCTGGAGCCAAGCAGCAGGCAAAGTTCAGTGCTTGTTCAGGGAGATAAGGCGAGGATGCAGGGCAGTGTGCAGGCAGCTTGCAGGGCTGTTACTCATTTATTAGAGATCCTTGTTTGCCTTGTTGTAAGGAGGTTTCTCCTCCCCTCTGCTTTCCCAGCAAGGTGTATGGCAGCTTTGGTGGCTTGTGCATGATTCCTGCTCATGCCCCCACACAGAGGCCTGGGGAAGGTCCCTGCAGCAGAGTGGCCCTAGTCCCACTGGCAGTATGGAGAGGTGTCAGCGTGGGGCTGGCTGGAATGCTTTTGGTTGCTTTGGTGCTCCACGTGTTACCCCACCACTTGCTTTGCCCTAATAGCTTGGTGGGTTTGGCTCATGGTGCCATCAAAGCAACTACTTTCTCTTTGACCTCCATCCCCATTCACTCACCTTGCATCATCTTGCCAGGCATTTACTAGCAAACCCTTGGTCTGGACAGGGCTTGTCCTGGGAACAGAAGTTACCTGATGGGATGGTGCTCTGGATCATCGTCCTCTGTTTGCCAGGGAGCTCAGCCCTGTGGGCAGCACCCTGCCTGCACCCAGGGTTGGGTGCTCTACGGATGCTCTGTGTTGGGCTGGTGTCTGGGGTGCAGTGAGAGAGGAGGGAGCAGCAGGGGAGTCATCTCCCCTCTGCCCCATTCCTGGGATGCTCCAGGGCAGCAGCCAATACAGATGTGAGGTCTGTGTCTGAACTCCCCCAAAGGAAACAGCCGTTTAACACAGGATCCAGGACTGCAGCTGGATCCCACAGCCAGCTCCTCACTTCTCCTTTTGAGCCCCAAAGCCCTTTTCACTTCCGTTTCACTTTGGTTTTATCTCCCCTCTGCCTGAGACCCGGTGAGGTATTTGCTTCAGGGAAACTGCAGCAAGCGTGTTTGGACAGCTTCTCTACAGGGCCAGGTATTTGCTTTATATAGATAAAAAGCCCCCAACAACTAAGCAAACGTGTAGGTGCTGGTTGCTTATGGAGAGCTCTCCTGCTCTAGATAGCCAGGCATCTTCCTCCTTAGTGCCGGTAAAATGAACCAGTGGCTTTGCTCAATGCAGCCAGGAGAGGCAGAGGGTTATTGTGAGGAACTGAATGCATGAAAGTGAGAGCTGAGGTAGATGCTGAGCTTCAAGGCAGCTTGGGATGAAAGAGGAACTGAAATCTCATGGATAAACACTGGGGAGAAAAAACCGTTCTCACCTGGAAAGACTTGATGAAGATGCCAAGTGGTTCCTGTGTGGGTTTTCCTTTATCTTGCATCGCTGCATGCCTGTAGCATCCTTCCCCCTGCTTTTGTGCTCAGGAATCTTGTTTCAGGAGGGGCAAAACTGCGGGGACAAGTCATGTCAGGAGCCATGAATTGTGGCCATTCTATCCCTGCTTATCCTGCTCACCATCAGCTGTGCTTACAGGGAGGAGCAGAGCCTTTGGGCTCCCCAGGAGCCCTCCTGCTGTAGCCGGGAGCAGTGCTCGGGGTACCCCAGTGTGCCAAAGAGACCTTCAGAGGGGCTCAGCCCTGAGCCCTGCTCTCTGCTTTTGGGGGTAACTGTGCCTGCTTTTTGGGTGTGAAAATGCAGTGGGGGATCAGCTGTCTGTGCCAAAGGGTATCCTTCTCTCAGGGGAGGATGGCTGGGAGGGAAGGAGGGAAGAGCCTGGGGCAAACTGGAAGGAAAACGAACCTCCAAGCAACCCAGTCAAGCACTCAGCAAGTGGCTGCCATGGAGTGGACACTGAGCCAGGGGCTCTGCTCAGGCTCTGCTCCCTGCAGGCTCAATGCCTTGCACCGTGCCTCGGTTTCCCCTGTGGCAAACAAGGGTTTGCTTTTCCCTGAAGCTGTCCATGCCTGGTCAAGCATCCTTGCATGTGTGCAGCCAGCCCATTGCTGGTGAGGTGCTGGGGGCAGCAGGAGCGTCTGACCTGGTGCTCTGTGTTTCAGGAGGCTTTGGCAGCCATCCCCATCCCAGGGAGCTGGGGAGCGCGTCCCAAGGATTGGCTGTGCCGCAGGATGGGCAGCTGCCCTCAGCGGGGCAGTGGGAAGATGAGCAGAGGCATAGCCCATCTCCTGACGGCTCTCTTCATGGCGGTGACAGCAGTGATAGGCTACCCATCACGGCGCTCTGCCACCGACCTGGATGCCACCCCCAGGACAACAGTCACCTTTGAGGGTAAGGGGCTGTGGGTCTTGGTGGTGCAGATCTTGCCGGCACTGGATTTGTTGCATTGTGACTGCATTCAGACTTCCCCAGCCTCTGGAGTGGGAAGCTTGGCATGGTGGGTGGCAACAGAGGGTCCCCTGGGCTCTAGCAATCAATGCATGGGTCTCTATTGTTGGCTTCCTGGAGTTGATGTACCCTGAGGGATGGAGCAGTGGAGATGCAAAGGCATCTCCCCAGTAGCCAGTTCAGGAGGACAAGGATGTGCAGGGAGCCAGCCTTGGCCAGACCCTGGCTTTGCCCAGCTGCCCTTGAAGAGTGTCCTGAGCTGGGCATCACACCCAAATAGTCAGCAGGGAGCTTCCTTCCATGGCTTTCTCTAATTGCCACCAGGCTGTTGGCCTCCAGCCTCAGCCAGCCCCATAGTGTCATTGTGCCCTGGGCATCCACATGACTTCACTGACCTCTTTAGTGAAGCCCAGCTCAGCAGTTGACAGTGGTTCATTTGCAACTGGTGTGCCCTTTCATCCTTTCAGACAGTGCCTCCTTTTTTACAGGTCATTCCCTCCCCAGCTGCCTCCAGGGTCCCAAGCCCCATGGGACTTTCTCCTACTGTGGCAGGAGGGTCTGAGCCTCCTGGCTTGGGGTTCCAATGGCCAGGGCACTTCTCAGCAGCCCAGATTGCATGGTTTCTCTGGCTCAGTGGGCAGGGAGCACCCAGCCTGCCTGCAGAAGCCCTCCCCTTGCACAGCAGTTTTGGGTCAGGTTTTGTGCATCCTTTTGAACGGGCTGGGTCACTGCTGGTGTGGTTTCGCTTCCTCTGACTGCTCTCCAAACAGCGTTGCAGGCCCATGCTGGACCACTGGCAGCCAGCACCATCAGCCCAGTAACCTCGGGTGGTCCTTTTCCACCCGCTCCCAGCTCCGTTCTGTCTTTTCCCAGTGGCTCGCACCGTGCCTGCCCCAGGGTCCCCCCCTCAGCCCCCTGTTCCCTTTGCAGAGCTGTTGGGCGTCCGGCGCTTCAGAGCGCGCACCCTCAACTACAGCACCCTGCTGCTGGAGGATGACCGCGGCATCCTCTACGTGGGGGCCAGGGGAGCCATCTTCGCCCTCAACTCCAGCGACGTGGCCGACGGCTCCCACCGCACGGTGAGCCTGGCCCCCATACTCGTCATCAGCTGCTCGTCCTCTCCCGTCCCACTCTGCCCGCTCCCTGCCCGAATTGTGGCCACCCTGTCCCTGCTCATCCTCCCTCTCCCCACCTCAGGTCCTGCCTGGAGGTGCTGTCCCCAGGTCCCCTGTGGGCATCTGGACCTTCTCCCTAGCCAGGCAGTGTGGGGACAGTGGTGGGAGGTGCCCCCAGGCTCAGAGCTGCCTGTTTCAGGGACACCCCATCAGGACGAAGGGCAGGGGGGATGCATTACACCTTTGCTCCCACTGGGAAGGATACCCCAAAATTCCTCCTGTGGGTTAGGGTCTAGAACCACTCTCACCCTGGGCTGGGGATGTGGGCAGGGATGCCATCTCATGCGGAGGATTTTAGCACCTCTGAAGGCTCTGGCAGAGGCTGGAGCCTGCAGTGATGGTGGAACCATGTGGTGATGGGGGAAGTTCCTCTTCCCATTGCAGATCCAGTGGGAAGCCTCCCCAGAGAAGCAGATGGACTGCCTGCAGAAGGGCAAAAACAACAAGGTAGAGCCGGTGGGTGGGTGCTGGGGGGGCTGCTGCCGCCTCCCCAGACTGTAACGCCTCCCCCCCACACACAGACCGAGTGCTTCAACCACGTGCGGTTTCTGCAGAGGCTGAACAGCACCCACCTCTATGCCTGCGGGACCTACGCCTTCCACCCGCTCTGCGCTGCCATTGTGAGTGCTGCTCAGCCCCACGGCTGTCCCCTGTCCCCATGTCACCCTGGCGTGGTGCAGCCCCTGCACGCTCCCACCATCTCCCCCTACAGCCTAACTCCCTTTCTGACCCCCAGGCTGGGGTGGGTAGATTTGGGGATGCAGCACCGTGATGCAGACACCCACAGTCGTCCCCCCCAGCACTGGGGTTAGACTCAGACCCCATAGCAAGATGGCTGGAGGTGGATCGGTGACGGGAGGGGGGGCATGTGGGCTCAGTGAGACCAGTGGGGTGGGATGTGCCATCACTGGAGCTGGTCCCCAGCCCCTGCTGTTGGAGGGTCCCTTCCCAAATCAGTGGCTGCAGTCTGGCTGGTGGCCAGTGGCAAGCATGCCTGGAAGGGTGGCGATGGCAGGAGGGGTGATGGTGGCAGGGTTGTCTCAGCAGCCCATCCCTAGGGATTTCCCAGGCCAGGCCAGGGGTCCCCGTGTGGCTGTGATGCAGAGCAGAGGCCTGGGGCAGCCACGTTCCCAGCAGTGGGACTTTCACCCCTATGTGGTGGCTCCTTGGGGACTCAGCTGCCCTTTGCCCACCTCCCTCCCTGACCAAAGGGGCCTCCTGGGACCATGTCCGCAGCACGGCCAGGGCATCCCGGGGGAGCCGTGCCCATTCCCACACCCGTGTCACCGGTCCGGTTTGGCTGTCGCACGCCCTGGGAGTCAGGCGGAGCAGCCGCTGAGCTGGAAGGGCCCGGTCATTATTTGACACGCTTTGAACTACAAACCCCAAAGAAAATAACTCCTGCCATGACAGGGACATCCCCCAGGGGAGCCAGCCCGGCTGGACAGCGTCTGCTGGCCAGGCACAGCCTGGGAACGTGGGTTGCACTAGCCAAATCCTGCCTGGTGCCCACACGATGCCAACGTGGGGCACTGGGGCTCCTTCTGAGCCCTCTGCCCTGCTCTTGGCTGTGGGCTCTGGCTGTCCATGTGGTTTCCGACCAGCTAGAGGGCGCAGGGAGGGTTTGTCTTGCCTGGACAAGGACATGGGCATTGCTTTGTCCCCACTAGCAGCAGAGAGCTAGGGGCTGGCAGGCGAGGCGGGTCTGTCGCCTCCCATGTAACCCAGTCCCCTGTCCCCCTCAAGGATGCCAACAGATTTACATTGCCATCACACTTCGAGGAGGGCAAGGAGAAGTGCCCCTACGACCCTGCTCGTGGCTACACTGGCCTCATCGTGGGTAAGCAGCACCTTTGCCAGGGCTGGTGGGGACATGTGGGATGCCACTGATCCTCGCCCCATCCCCAGTGCCCCCATGGGGTTCCCCAGCTGGGTGGGCTCTGTATGCAAGGGCCTTAGCCAGTCAGGCCTTGGTCCTCCTCCTCCTTTGCCACTTGGAGCATGGGGATGCTGGTGGCTTTTGGGGCTATCCCTGGGGAGCAGCACCATGCTGATGGTGCCTGCCCTGCCCAGATGGTGGACTGTACACGGCCACACGCTACGAGTTTCGGAGCCTCCCTGACATCCGGAGGAACCTGCACCAGCGGCCGCTGAAAACAGAGGAATCCCCCCTGCACTGGCTGAACGGTGAGACCGCTATGGTCCCCTGGGGCCAGTGTCATGGGCTGTGGGATATTGTGCATTGCCTTGGGGAGCGTGGACCAGGAGTGGGGGTACCCCTGGGGTCCTGTATGGTTTGCCATGAAGAAACTGAGTCAGGGAGCAATCCTCCATCCCGTGGTGGGTCCCCAGCCTCCAGCTTTCTCTCTGTGCTCCCCAGATGCTGAGTTCGTGGCCTCAGTGCTGGTCCGGGAGAGCAAGGACAGCCCTGTGGGTGACGATGACAAAATCTACTACTTCTTCACGGAGTGGGCAGGCGAGGAGACCACATCCTTCTTCGACAAGAGCCAGGTGGCCCGAGTAGCCCGAGTGGCCCGTGTCTGCAAGGTAGGTATGTCCCCAGCCACGGGGAGGCAAGCACTGGGACAGAGGCTTGGGGGAAAGCGAGGCATGGGCAGAGGGACATGCACCCCCCGATCAGCCTGTGCAGAAATGCTCCCTGCACCCTCCCAGAGCGATGTGGGGGGAAAGAAGATCCTGCAGCGCAAGTGGACATCCTTCATGAAGGCACGCCTGGTCTGCTACATCCCCTACTATGAGGTGCTGCGCAGCGTCTGCAGCCTGGATGGAGGCAGCTGGGCCAGCACCGTTTTCTATGCCGCCTTCACGCTTTCGGCGCAGTGGTGAGCAGGGCAGCAGCCAAAGCAGCTAGAGTTAAAAGTCATGGGGGGAGACCAGAGATGCTCAAGGGGACACGCAGGCTGGTGCTGAGCACCTGGGGGTGCAGTGGTGGGGAGCACCCCTATATCTGCCTGGGCTCAGGTGGGGTTTTATCCCCCAGGAGGACCATGGAGGCTTCTGCCGTGTGCCGCTACAGCATCTCAGCAGTGCAGCGTGCCTTCGAGGGCCCCTACATGGAGTACCAGGACTCGGCTCGCAAGTGGTCCCGCTACGACGGTGCGGTGCCTGAGCCCCGACCTGGCTCCGTGAGTGCTTGCGGGTGTGGAGATGGGGGAACACAGGGCAGCTGCATCCTCTCCTGACCCCCGTCTCCCCTGGGCAGTGCATCACGGACCACTCCCGCAGGAAGGGCTACAACTCCTCGCAGGACCTGCCCAACAGTGTCCTGGACTTTGTGAAGCTGCACCCACTCATGTTTGAGGAGGTGAAGCCGGCTGGCGGGGAGCCGCTGCTGGTGAAGAAGAGCGTGGTGTACAGCCGGCTGGCCGTGGACAGGGTGCGGGCCCTTGATGGTCGCTCCTATGATGTGCTCTTCATGGGGACGGGTGAGCACGGGATGAGTTCATGGGGTCTCTGCAGGCAGGGAGCACACCCCACACTCCTTCCTGACCCCCTGCTCTGCTCTCCAGGGGACGGCTGGATCCACAAGGCTGTGGTGGTGAGCTCCGGCATCCACATCGTGGAGGAGGTGCAGGTGTTTAGGGACCCGCAGCCTGTGGAGAGCCTGGTGATCTCCCATGCCCAGGTGAGGGGTGGAAGAAGCGGGGGGACACCACATATGGGGCATGTTTGTGCTGCAGCCTTTGGGCTGTTTGTGGAATGCGGGGGACATGACTCGTGGGTCACCCCAGCTTGGGATACATGCCAGAGCCTAAGGAAAGGGAGCAGTCTGGCCTCCAGCTGCAGCCATTCAGCACTGACTGGAGCTGGGGTCCCTCCCGCATGCACCGCACCAAGGGAGAGCTGGATCTCTGGGCAGCATGGGGCACCCCATAGCCCAGTCGCACCATGCCAGGTCGGTGCTGAGCCAGCCCTTTTTCCCCAGAGGAGCCTGTACGTGGGGGGAGCCACTGGGATCCTGCAGGTGCCCCTGGCCTCCTGCAGTAGGTACACCTCCTGCTATGACTGCATCCTCGCCCGGGACCCCTACTGCGCCTGGGATGGCAGGTCCTGCTGTGCCACTGCCACCACAGACAGGTAGGGACAGGCTGCCCGTCCCCAGTGAGGTCCCCGTGAGCCTTCCACCTGCCCCATCCCATGCTGTTGCACATTACCCCGTGGCACAGTCACCCCAATGCCACCTTAAGGATCTGGCATCCGCCAGGTGGCTGTGACCCCATAAGGGTGGGCTCAGTCAGGGCTGTATGGCTGAAGCCCTGGTGTCTTGCAGGGTAGGGCTGGTGCAGGACATTCAGAGTGGCAACGAGGGATGCCGGAGCAGCTCTGGGAGGGGTGAGTCTGTGCAGCCCCTTGCGACCACAGGGGATGCTGGTGTCTGGCATCCCTTAGGGTGACTGGGAATGGTGCAAGGCAGTGCTTGTCCCCACAGGCTCTCTGCCATGGAAGAACCGGACGGTGCTGCAGGGGGACGACGTGCTGCTGCCCTGTGACCAGCGCTCCAACCTGGCACGAGCCGTGTGGCTGCTGAACGGCAGCGAGGCGCTGGACGCAGGGCAGGACCGGCTGCGCATCGGGGTGGATGGGCTGCTGATGACAGACACGCTGCCGCAGCACAGCGGCGAGTACCGCTGCTACGGCGAGGAGCGCGGTCTCCGGACGCTGCTGGCTGCTTACAGCCTCACCGTGCTGCCCGAGCTGCCCCGCAGCCCCACGGCTGCCTCACGGCCTCATGCTATCAGCCAAGCAGCCAGCGACATGAAGGTGGCTTATGTCTCCGCCATCGTCGCCTTGGTGGTGCTGTGCGCTGTGCTCAGCACCGTCCTCCTCTATGTGTCCTGCCTGGAGAAGCGCAAAGGCAAGTACGTGCTGGGGGATCCACGGCCGGCCAGCGTGGAGCTGCAGACCGTCTCAGCCAACTGCCTGCGCAAGGGCCACCGGGAAGAGGAGGAGGAGGAAGAGCTCGCCTACCCTGATGGCTGCCTGCGCATCATCCCTGGGGAGGCACCCACGGCTGCCACATCCCCGGTAAAGGAGCTGCCGGCTGCTGTGCCCCCGTTGCCGCCGCCGCTGCCGGCCGAGCTCACCAACGGCGTGGGGTCTCTGCCCAACGTGCTCCGCAAGATGAATGGCAACAGCTACATGCTGCTGCAGCAGCAGGAGGAGCCGCTGGTCTCGCCGCTCTACAGCGCATCCTTCACCGAGGAGCTCAGCAAGATCCTGGAGAAGCGGAAACACACGCAGCTGGTGGAGAAGCTGGACGAGAGCTCCGTGTAGGGGCTGGGAGGGGTCCTGCCAGCGGGACCCTCCTCCCCTCCAGCCCCTTCTCCCACCCCTTGCCAGCAGTGTTACAAGACTCAGGCAAAACTACCTCCTGGATGGCACAGCCAGGCCAGGCCTGGGCTTGGCCATTCCTGTGGCTTTTCTCTGACTTTTGAGACTCGCTATACAGAAAAAACAAAGAATCTATTTAAATTTGGAGCTCTATTTATGTATAAAAACCCACTGACGGTGGCCACAAGCTGGAGGCAGGAGCTGGCACCTGGCTGAAGGTGGACCCTGGGGGGAGGGAGAGTTTCTGTCTGTCCGTCTGTCCAGGTGTGAGGGAGAGATGCTGTTGTGGACGCATGGACTTGGCCTGCCCTGCTGGGTGTCCCTTGGCTGCTGAGAGGTGGGTGAGGAGCAGGAGCGGGGCTGGGGGCTCCTCAGCTTCCTGCTCACAGGAGAGGGGCTGTGGACACAAGTCACACTGTTGGGGGTGGCCCTGGTGGCTGCCAGCCCCTGCCCGCTCTCCCACATCTGCCTCCAGGGATGGCTCCAGGAAGAGGACAGTTCAGTGAGTGTTGGAGCTGGGTGAGGAAGCTGATGTCCAGAATGTCCTGGAGCAGCTGGTGGAGCGATGTGTGCCTGCTGTGAGGAGGATACAGGTAAACACAGGGCTGGGTGACTGGGGGAGGCAGCTCCTCTGGGACCTCTGACCCTGACAGTGCTCTGCCCTCTCTCCCCAGGGCGCTGCGGAGGAAGAGCAGGGTGCAGCAGCAGGACACACTGGCAGCAGGACTGGCAGCCACGGCCTGCGGTGTAGCAGGGGACTTACTGCAGCACCAACATTCCCCACAGCGTCTGCAGTGCCTCTGCGGCCCCACGTTTCTGCCCTCCTGCGTGGTGCTGCTGGAGAACTGGGGTTCAGGCACAGCCCTGTCCACCACGGAACATGTGGGAAGGGAAACATCCTCACAGAGCAAGGAGTCCTGGACAACGCGTCTCCCACTGGGGCCTCCTGCCCTTCATGGCACTTTCAAGGGGCAGCCACTGTCCCTAAATCCCCCCAACTACCTCTCCTGCCACCTCCTGGGGGAACCTGTGGAACTGGAGTGACAAAAGCATGTCCCGTTGTGGGGACAGGTCTGTGACACTGGAGAAACTGTGAAGGGAGAGACTTGTTGAGGTGCCTGACCTCCCTTCTGTGTTCCTTGCTGGCACTTCCAGGATCAGGACATCACCTGGAGCTCAGCCCAGCAGGGGGACAGGAACAGGGTGGCAGCCCTTGGCGTCCCCAGCAGGCTGGAGCCCAGGCCCCCCTGCCCCAGCAGGGTGAGGTGCAGTGGAAAAAGTCAAGAGCCAAACACCTGCATTCCCCCATCCTGCCCCAACCCTTGGTGTTGCTGCAAGGTGGGACCAAGCAACCCCCAAGCACCCACCCTCTGCAAGGAGGGGCATCACTCTCCGTGTCTGGCACCCCTCATGCACAGCCCCATGTGCCCCCTGGCAATAAACACGGCTCTGTCTAGAAGTGATGTTTTCTCTGTGGGCAGGAGAGGCGGATGCAGAGGCACAGGGTGTGGGGCTGAGGCTTTATTGGGCCTGGAGCCGTGGGCCCCGCACAGTGAGGATGGAGGGTTTGTTGGTGAGGGGGTGCCACTGGCCCTGGATGCTGGGGTTGTCGGTGTGGAAGGGCTTGCGGATGCGGATGATGTCCAGGCCGGACTGGCCGGCCAGCTTGGTGGCCAGCTGCAGGATCTCTTCACTTGTCTTGCTGGTGATGAGCTCCTCTCGCACTGTCCCATTCACTGTGGCAGAGCAGGAAGGGAGCACAGAATCATTAGGGTTGGAAGGGACCTCTGGAGATCACCCAGTCCAACCCCCCTGCCACAGCAGGACCACCCAGAGCAGCTTACACAGGAACCCATCCAGGCGGGTTTTGAATGGCTCCAGAGAGGGAGACTCCACAGCCCCCCTGGGCAGCCTGTTCAGTGCTCTGCTGCCTTCAGCATAAAGAAGTTCTTCCTCATGAAGAGGTGAACTTCCTGTGTTTTAGTTTATGGCCATTGTCCCTCATCCTGTCACTGGGCACACTGAAAAGAGGCTGGCACCATCCCCCTGGCACCTGCTTTTGAGGTATTTATATGCATTCATGAGATCTCCTCTCAGCCTTCTCTTATCTAGACTGAGCAGGCCCAGCTCCTGCAGTCCCTCCTCATAAGAGATGCTCCAGACTTCTGAGCATCCTCGTGGTCCTCCACTGGAACAGGCCCCTCCTTCCTCCCCAACACTCCTCCTGGGGGGTGGCTGCTGTTCCCCTGCCCCACAGAGCAGCCATCCCCAGTGCTGTCCGCAGCAGGGCAGAGGTGGGGGAGCACCAGGGTGGGAGGGACCCCATCATCCTGCCCCACATCCCCCTATTTCCAACTGCACTCACAGTACTCAGCCACCAGCACCGGGGTGGGGTTGGAGCAGGGCCTGACGTAGAGGACGACATCGGGGTGCTGCCGCGCAAAGTCCAGTGCCACCTCCTCCACGAACTGCCTGTGGGGGGAGAGGGGGTCTGGTGCGGTCAGAGCTCACTGCAGCCCCCACCCGTGGTGAAGGGCAGAGATCACCACCAGCCTGCCTCTGTGCTGAGGGGCAGCAGTGCCCCCCACCTCTGTGGGTCAGAGCTCAGCAGCACCCTCTCTCTCCCTGCTGCCCTGGCTTCAGCTGTAATGGTTTTCAGTGGTTTTCTCCTTCTTTGTAGCTGGTGGAGTGCTGTGGTTTGGCTTTAGTCTGAGAACAACGGTGATGACACCCATGTTTTAGTTGTTGTTCAGTAATGGTTACTCTGATCAAGGACTTACCAGTCTCATGGTCTGCCAGTGAGGAGGGGCACGGGAGGCCGGGAGGAAGCAGACACAGGACACCTGACCCAAACTACCCAGAGGAATAGTTATGGTATATTACTCCATACCACTGTCATGCCGACTATATAAACTTGGGGGCAGTCACCCGGAAGGGCTGGATCGCTGTTGGGGTCGGGCTTTGGGTATCGGTCTGCGGGTGGTGAGCGGCTGTATTCTCTTCCCTTGTTATTTCCCTCACCATTGTTATTACCACCATCAGCTCTGTATTACACACACCCATGCAGGCTGTTACCACCCGTCTCACCAGCCACCCCCCCCCAAGGTCAGAGATCAGGGGTCACCGAGCCTCCCTCTTCCTCTCCTTCTCACTACACCCCCCCTCCCACCCCCGGGGCTCCGGGGCGGTACCTGGCGCCGCGGGCATCGGCCGCGGTGGGGCTGAAGAGGAGCTGGAGGCGCTGGAGCTGCCGCACGTAGCGGCCCACGCCGTTGTGCAGGACGGACGTGAGGAACCGGCTGGGTGACCCGCGGGCCGTCATGGCGCCTCTTCCCCGGGAACCGGAACTGCGCCGGGAGCGGAGCACATCCGTATCCGGCCCTTCGGGAAGTGGCGCGCTGAGCGCGGCTGGCGCGGAGCTCCACGTGGGGGGGGCGGCGTGAGCGGTGCCCGAACCGGGAGGGAACCGGGAGGGGTCCGTGGGGCAGCGGCCGATGCGGATCGGCAGCCGCCCGCGACGGGCAGGATGGCGGTGGTGCCCCTGCGGCCCTGCAGAGCCGCCGGCCGCCTCCTGCCGCTGCTGTGCTGCGGGGCGAGGAGCAAGGGAGCCTCCCTGAGCCCCGGCGTGCCGGGCCGCCTCACCCAGCGGCGCTACAAGAAGGACGTGCTGCCTTCGCCCGAGGGGCCCGTGCCCTGCGTCACCATCACCGAGATCCGGCAGTACCTGCGCGCCCAGGGCATCCCTTTCCGCGACGGGTACAGCTGCCTGCACACCCCCAGCTTCTTCACCGCCGGCCGGGAGGAGCAGCCGCCGGCCGCCAGCGCCCCTTACACGCTTTTCATTGACAAGACCACGGGCAGCTTCCTGTGCACGGCCACCCTGGCCGAGGGCACCTGGCAGGACTTCCAGGCCAACGTGGAGCTGCAGCACCGCGATGCTCCCCCCGACGGCTCAAAGGAGGCAGAGGAGGGCATGTGGCAGGCTCGTGAGGCTGCCCGCTGCATCTGGGAGCGGGCGCTGCCGCTCTCTGATCTGTTGGATAAGGATGAGACCAAGGAGACCAAGGCCATGTTCGGTATCAACGAGGTAACGGATGCCACCCTGAAACGCTTTGGGGTGCGTTATCTGAGGACTTCCAAGTCCCTTGTCTTCCCTTGGTTTAGTCCCCGTGATGCCACCCTAAAAGGCCTGAAGCTTCTGAGGGCGGAGAAGAAGGGGGATGCGATAGTTTATGCGGAAGATACTTTACCCCGCTTCGATTCCTATCACAATCTCTTTGGTCTGCCCTTGATCAGCAGCCGAGACACAGAGCTGGTGTTAACGGGGTGGGAGCTGGATGCCCTAGCCCTGCACCAAGCCACGGGGGTGGCCAGCCTGGCCCTGCCGCGGGGGTCCACCTGCCTGCCCCCCGCCCTCCTCCCCTACCTGGAGCAGTTCAAGCGCATCACACTGTGGCTGGGTGAGGACCTGCGCTCCTGGGAAGCCGCCAAGCTCTTTGCCCGCAAGCTGAGCCTCAAGCGCTGCTCCCTGGTGCGCCCCGGCAACCTGCAGCCGCGGCCCTTGGAGGCTCTGAACCAGGGCCTGAACCTCACCAAGATCCTGCGTGCCGCCCTGCCCGCCAGCCACAAATCCATCGTGTCCTTCCGGCAGCTGCGTGAGGAGGTGTTTGGGGAGCTGGCCAACAGCGAGCAGGTGGCTGGCGTCAAGTGGGTGCGCTTTCCCGAGCTCAACAAGCTCCTCAAAGGGCACCGCAGAGGGGAGCTCACTGTCTTCACAGGTGATGGGCAAACTGCTGCTGGATGGGGAGAGCAGGAGGCTCTTGGGTGCTTCACCTCTTGGGGGTGATGCCCTGCAAATCTTTCAGGTCCCTTTCTGCTTGTGGCTTTGGCTGAGTCCGTCCTGGGTGCAGTGGGGCTGAATGCACCAGTGTGGTGATGGGCTTACTGCCCGAGGCAGCACAGGAAATCCTGGGGTGTCCCTCACCCCTGCTTCCAGCTGCCACCTCTTCTCTGAGCCCTTCCTATGCCAGCCCTTCCCCACACCCCACAGGGACCCGCTGGCTGCTGGAGGCAACCTGTGTGTGTTCAGAGATGCAGCCAAGCAGGAGATGCTGCTTGTATATGGTGGGAGTGCTGTGGATGGGTTGCTCTTATCCGACTCCCCGGCACTTCCACCTCTGAACAGCCCCCCTACATGTTCAGGATGGGTCAGGTAATTTCCCCTAGGTAACTCCTCCTGTCATTGTCCTTGCACCAGGCCCGACGGGCAGCGGGAAGACAACCTTTATCAGTGAGTATGCACTGGACCTGTGCATGCAGGGGGTGTGCACGCTGTGGGGCAGCTTTGAGATCAGCAACATCCGCCTGGCCAAAATCATGCTGACGCAGTTTGCCACCCAGCGCCTGGATGACAAGCTGGAGCTGTATGATGAGTGGGCCGATCGCTTTGAGGACCTCCCGCTCTACTTCATGACTTTCCATGGCCAACAGAACATCAAGTATGATCCCACACCTTCATCCCCAGTAGCACTTATCCCTCAGAGTGTGTGCTGTGGGGCCTTGGGGAGCTGGGGCTCTTCCTCTGCAGGTTTGGGGCTAGCAGGAGGCATGTTGCTGCTGTTCTAGTCCCAGGGCTGGCATGTGGGGACTCTCAGCCTTCTTCTGGGATGGGGGTGAAGGGAGAGGACCTGTTCCTGTGCTGGGTGGCTGCTCTGAAATCAGCCTCTCTGCCCGTGGCAGGATGTGTCCCCCATACACCCTGCTCACTGGCAGCACTGCTGTTTGCTGAGGAGCAAGACAGGCACCTCTGGCTGCTTCTATTCACCAGGTGCTGTGGCACCTGCACACATCCCCTGTGGGCTGGAGGGGATCACAGGGTGGTGGGTAGGGGCTGGGTTCTCCTGATCCTGCTGCCCTCACCTGTGGGGTGAGGCACGGGAATGAGGCTTGTGCTTGTCCTGCAGCGGAGGGAATGTGGAGGTGGGATGTGCCAGGAGACAGCTCAGCCTCTCCACGTCCCCATGCGTGGCTCAGCATCCCCATCCCTGCCTCCGCTGATGTCAGTCTCCCTCTACCCAGGGCTGTGATTGACACCATGCAACACGCTGTCTACATGTACGACATCACCCATGTGGTCGTCGACAACCTCCAGTTCATGATGGGACATGAGCTCACTGTGGACAGGTAGCCCTTCTCCAAGCTGCCCCCTCCTTCCTCTGCCACTGTCATTGCTGGAGCTGGCCCTGCTGTGTGCCACGACAGGGGCTGTTCGCTTTAGTCCTGTCTGGCAGCCCCGTTTCCTTGTAGGGCAATCAATGCCCTGCAGAGGAGGAGGTGGGGAAAGCATGAGCTGGTTAGCCATGATCCCTGTCATGTCCCATCCCTTTTCCCACATGGGCCCAAGAGCCTCATGGAGAGTGAGCCCCTGACCCCGTTCTCACTGCCATGGCAGGCTCACTGCACAGGACTACATCGTTGGTGCCTTCCGCAAGTTTGCCACGGACAATAACTGTCACATCACACTGGTCATCCATCCCCGCAAGGAGGATGATGAGAAGGAGCTGCAGACAGCTTCCATCTTTGGCTCTGCCAAGGTGAGCTGGGCTGGGGTGGCCTTTCCTGTCCCTCAGGCACAGTGTGTTCCCAAGTGGGGCTGGGATACATTGGGCAGCTGTCCCCTGCTCCCACCAGCACATGGATCATCACTGGGGAACCAGTGTCGTGTGGGGCAGAATGTCCCCAGGATTCCTGTCACTTGCTGTGGATGTGCTGAGTCCCAGTTTGGCCAGGGAGATGCAGGCAGAGAGCAAATCCTTTGCCAGCTAAAGTGCTGATGGGGCTTTACGTGCAGTTAATTAATGCTCATTGAATATGAGTGGGATGTAGGAGAAGGTAATTAAAGAAGGAGCCAGGGAGGGTGGAGGGATGAGCTCTAAGTGGCCCAGTCTCTGCTGGGATGCTGAGTGGCCCCGCAGCTGTGGGCAGGAGGTCCTCTGTGAATGTGCACAGTGCTCCCTTGTTTCCCAGGGCATGCTGCTCAAGCCTGTGTGCCCAGCAGGTCACTGAGGTGGCCCTGGGGTAGATGAGGGGTTGGTGTCGGGGAAGTGCTGGAGTTGCCATGGCCTGGGATGCCCCGTACCAGGGCTCAGAGGAACCCCTGCCTCTGGATGCATCCCCAGCATCCTCCTGGAGTCATTTTCCTTCCCGCAGGCCAGTCAGGAGGCTGACAACGTCCTCATCCTGCAGGACCGTAAGCTGGTGTCAGGGCCAGGGAAGCGCTACATGCAGGTGTCCAAGAACCGCTTCGATGGGGACGTGGGTGTCTTCCCCCTGGAGTTCAGCAAGACCTCGCTCACCTTCTCCAGCAAAAGCAAGGCCAAGGTGAATAAGGTGAAGGAGGAGAAGGAGAAGGCGCCTTTAGCTGCAAAGGCTCCTTCAGCCAAGAAGGCTCCAGGGGGAAGCTCAGGAGCCTCTAAGAAGCCATGAGCCCATCAGGTCTTCCTCAGCCTGTCAGAAGGAATGAGGACTGGTGCTAGGAGCGTGGGGCTGGGGTACACCAGCCCCCCTCCCAAGGGAGCAGCAGCCACACACTGCTGTGGCCCTTTCTCCTGCAAGAACAAGCCTGTTGGCCACCACCGTGGTGTCTGAGATGTGGGGCCACCAAGAAGGGAAGGTTGGGCTCATCCCAGAGAAGAGCAGCCAGGCAAGGGTGCAATGGCAAATGCTGGCTGTGCTGTACTGGTGCTGAGTGTTGGGAGCGTGGTGGGGAGTGGAGGCAGCACGGGCAGTGTGGAGGGGGGTCTCCAGACCTGGGACAGGTCGTTAAATTGTGGGTATAACGGAGCTGAAATCATGACTGTCACTGACTGGGGGGGACTGTGCAGGGGCCTGCAGATGGCTGAATCCCCTGTCACAGACTGGGGTCTCTGGGATGGATGCTGTGTGTTGGAGCCAGCAAGAGGAAAGTGGTAGATGGAAGTGTGGGAGGTTGTGAATGGCTGTTGCTGTCCATAGGACATGGTGGGAGCTGGACCCCCAGGGTATCACTCTTGACTGGTGGCAGGCATTGCTGAGCTCTGCCCACAACCTAGCCCCTTTCTTGCTCAGAGTCTTCACCAGCTCCTTTCTCCAGGGACATCACCAGCAGTAAAACCTCAGGAGGAGCAGCCCTGCCTCACTCTGCTGGGCTAGGGGGTGGCCATCCCCGTGGCCTCGGGCTCTGTGCAGCAAATACTGTGACCTACCTGTGGTAGGACAAGTCCTCGGCCAGATCTTGGTCTAATCCCTTTCAGTTCTTTATAGTTTTAATAAAGCATAAGGGTGATGTGCTGCTGTCCCTGTGACTGGGGGACCCTGGGGCTGGGGGGTACCGCAGAGGCTGTCCCCGCTGTGCAGAGCATCCTGCCCTGGCACACAGTTACCGCCAACCTGCGCACTGGGCATAGTTTTAACGTGAGCCATAATGAGGGGCTGGGGTGTGCGGGAGGTACACACCCAGCCCCGGGTTTCCGGGGTGCACCGGCTCTCCCGAGAGCACCCGTGGGTGCTGTCGGTGCAGATGTGAGGCCCCCCCCCATACCGGCAGGGGAGGCTGAGGGTGATGGCAGAGGAGGGTACCAGGGAAGAAGAGGTAAGGGGGGGGGGGTGGCAGTGGGAGCCAGGCCCCCGGGGCTGGGTGTTCTGTACCCCCTCAGTCCCCCCTGGCTCCCTGATGTCTTGCTGTCATGGAGCTGTGGGGTGGAAGTGGGGCAGCGGGAAACCCTGAGACCCCCATCCCTCCCTGGGATTGAGAGGGGGTGATGGAGCTGAGCCTGGGGGGGGCAGACCCTGTGTGATCCCCGACCCAGGGGAGGTGGCAGGGGGTACCTGCAGCTCCCCGGGCTGCAGGTGGGTTGATGGGTTGTTCTGTCTCCCTTTCCCCCCAGTTTGGGGCTCTCAGAGTGTTGGGGGGTGGCAGTAACACATCTCACCGGGGAGGGATGGGGGGGGGGGGGGGCTGTCAGGCGAGGCAGAACCTTCCTGCCCCTTGGCAGGCTGCTGAGCTCCCGGAGTAATTTGGGGGGGCCGTATCCGGCACAACCTTCATCCTGTAGGTTTGGGGGTGGAGACCCCCTGGGAGGGGGGGGGGGGCTCGGCTGGTGCAAAAAAGGGGGCAAGCCCCGTGTGTGTCCTGTGTCCCCCCGCCAGCTTGGGAATCACCCGGAGTGGATGGGGCTAAGGGTGACCGGTGCGTGCCCCCCCACAGCCCCCACCCCTTCCTGCGAGGGGGAGTGGCTTCGTGGGATGGGCGTGGCCTAACGAGGGGCGGGGGCACGCCTGGGGGCGGGGCTTGTGGCGGGGGCGGGGTGGCGGGGCGCGGCGCGGCGCGGGAGAGCGGCAGCGGGGCCGCGGTGAGTGCGGGGACTGGGGCCGGGCCGGGGAGGTCCCAGGGGGCCGCCGGGGCGCGGGGACCCCTGGGGGCACCTCGGAGGAGAAGGTTGGGGGGCGCTCTGGGGGAGCAGCCGAGGGTTGGGGGTTTGGGGGGGGCCGCTTTGAGGGGGGTCCTGGGAGCAGCGGCGGCTGTGGGGCGGTTTGGGGTGTTTCAGGGGTATTTTGGGGGTGCTTTGGAGATGCAGAGGCTGAGGGCTCTATGGGGCAGTTTAGGGAGTCGTGAGGCACTTTTGAGGTGCTTTAGGGGCACTCTGGGGAAGCTGTGGGGCAGTGCAGGCCCAGGGGTGCCGTGGGGCAATTTGGGGGTGCTTTGGAACACTTCAGGGATGCTTTAAAGGCACTTAAAGGGAGCTGTGGGGCAGCAGAGGCCCTGAGGCTCTGCGGGACACTTTGAAGATGTTTTAGGGGCATTTGGGGGAGCTGTGGGGCAGCAGAAACCCAGGCTGTCTGTGAAGCACTTTGGGGGTGTTGTGGGGCTGTACAGGCCCCTGGGCTCCGTAGGACACTTTGGGGGTGTCATGGGGAACTTTAGGCATGTTGTAGGACACTTGTGGGGAGCTGTGGGGCAGTGGGGCCCTGGGATGCCATGGAACACTTATAGGTGCTGTGGAGCTGGGCAGGCTGGGTGTTGTGGGGCTATAAGGGGCAGTGTGGTGGGTGGGAGGGCAAGGGGGGGGTATGGGGTGGTCACGGGGGCCAGCACCACCCAGGGTGCCTCGGGATGGTGGGGGGCACAGCTACGCATAGGGAGGATTCCGACCCCACAGGTACCGGGTGCGTATGGGGAGGGATGAGGGGCCGATCCTTCCTACCCTGCGGGGGGGGGTGTGGGGGGTCCTGCGGTGCCAGCGAGGCCCGGGAGCCCCCGGAACACCCATCAGCTCTGGGTGCGGGTCTGGCCGAGCAGGGGCCGAGTCTCGCTTTGCCGTTCCGGGGTCGGAACGGTGGGATGCGGCTCCGCGGCGCTCCGGCCGGAGCAGCTGGCTGTGACGCCGCCCCAGTTGCTGACTGGTTTTACTGGGTGGCTGGAGGATGTTTTGCAGGGCGCTGCCGGCTGAGCTGCTCCCCCCCCCTCCTCCAGGCCCCTTGCCACCTCCCTCTCGGGCGGCGCTGGGACCCTGTCTGCGGGCCGGGGGGGATTGCGGGAAGGAGAAAACGGGATCCCTTCCCCCCGCCGCCCAGCGCGGGGCCCCGGCGGTGGCGGTGTCCCCCCCGGTGTCCCTAGGGGTGCCCTGACCCGCACGTCCCGGGGCAGTCTCGCTGGGATGCGGTGCTGCGCACATCGCTGGCTGCGGCTCCGTCTGTCCCCCCGAGGTGTCCCTCTGGGGGCTCCCTGTCCCCCTCCGGCAGCGGCAGGTCCATGCTGAGGGCTGTGGTCCCCACCGCCCCTCCCGGGGTGTCCACAGCAATCCCTGGGTGCTTGGAGCAGCGCACCCACTGCCAGGCTCCCCTGCCACCCTCCGTGCCACGCTGGCACTGCTCCCCCTGTTCCTTCCGGGTGGGGGGCTGCGTGGGGCGCAGGGACCTCCGCTGCCGTTCAGCACCCTGACCCCCTCCTCTTGCTCCTTCCCGCTTCAGCAGCCGGTAGAGCTGTGTTCGTGGTGTGGGGGCCCAAGTGGACCGGACGGATGGGCAGCGGCTGGCGAGGTGAGCGGAGCCGTGGTGGGGGTCACCCCCCTTCCCACCCTGGGGTGTCATGGGCATGCCGCTCTGGTAGCGGTGCTGGTGGCGGGGGGAGCTCTGCCTCGCCTGCCTCTCGACCGTTGTCGCCCCCATGCCGGGCACTGGCAGGAGGATTGATTTCAGGTGACAGCTCTGCGGGCAGTGCCCCCCCCGCCTGCACCCGGTGCCAGCCGCAGCCATGTGCGAGATGCGATGAGGCAGCAGGGGATGGATCCGGCCCATAGGCTGGCGCCCGTCACGCAGGCGTATGGCCTGGGTTGGGGTATGGGGGCACTGGCAGAGCCCCCTCCAGCTGGAGGGGAGTGTGTGGGGTGGGAACAGGGGACACCCATGCACTGGGGCTGGGAAAGAGCCTTGTGTTGCATCCTGAAGCACCCATCAGCCTGGAAGCTGCCCCCTAAGTGGCCCTTTCTGGGGGACCCTGCACCCCACTGTGGATGGTTGAGTGTGGGGGTCACCTACAGTGGGGTCACTGACAGGGAGGTGGGGGCTGTGGGGCAGGGAAGTGGCTGTCCCGAGTGTGTGTTGCTGCCCCCCACTCTCTGTGGGGGCTGTGGGGCAGGCAGTGCCGTGGGGCAGGCGGGCAGGCTGCCCAGGAGCTGGCTCTCTGTGGGCCTCTTGGGATTTGCCTCCAGCCCTGGCACACTTCCTGCAGCAGGGTCATACCAGGGCATGGCGGGGGCAGGACCACATGCCACTGCGCCAGGGTGCCACCAGCACCCCACAGCCCCAGGATGCTCCACTGGGGTGCTGAGCCCAGCTTGGGGGGGTGCTGCTGCCACCCTCCCGGGCTAATCCTGGTTTTATTCTGGTTCATTTGGCACCTCCTTCGGCCAGCCCCTCCTTGGGTCAGCCTGCAGCCATGGGACTGGGGACAGTGGTAGCCAGTGGGGCATGTCCAGCAGTGCCCACAGCTCTGATGCCCTCTTCTCCCTTGCCTGCAGGCTGCCCGTGTGCCCCTGCCCGCCGGGGCTCCCCCCGTCATGGCCATCGTGCAGACGCTGCCAGTGCCCCTCGAGGCCGTCGCTGAGGGGGCTGCACAGCTCCGTGCTGCTGCCCATTCACCCCCTGCCACCATGGGCAGCGTCGGCAGCCTCCTGCCCGGCCGGCCCCGTCATGACCGTGCCAGCCAGCCCGGCGACGGGGACCCCCCCACCGCCTCCTTCCGCAAGCAGGAGGGACTGCTCCGGGCCACCCAGCGGGACCCCCCATCTCCCGAGGAGTCCCACCCGGCCGTACCTGGTGTCACCCATGCCTATGCCAATGGAGGCTTCTGCGGTGACTGGCTCGACGTCCCGTCTCCCACCAGCCCCTGCAGTGACTCGGATGAGCCCCGCGATGATCAAGCCCCAAGTGGTCACCTCCGGGGGCCCCCCCCTAAGCTTGTCCCTGTCTCTGGCAAGCTGGAGGAGGTAGGAAGGGGGGAGCAGCGGGGTGGGTGGGTGTGCGCAGGATCTTGGCTTCGCTCCCTATGCCACACTGGGACTGTCGGCTAACTGGGGCCGTGTTGCTACCTATTTGGTGTCCCTGGGCAGGTGGTGGTCCCATGCCCATGATGTTCCTTCTTTCGCGTAAGGGTTGTGTGAGTGGGAGCCCACCTGGGTACCCCATGAAGGGGGGATGGAGCAGACAGCAGCTGGTCCTTGTCTGAGGTGGGAAGGCATCGTGGCCCCCCCATGGGAGAGTGATGGGTCCTCCCCAGCCCCCCCTCACTCTTCCCCTCTTCCTTGGCAGAACGTGGAGAAGACCCTGATCCGCCCCATGGCCTTCAAGCCGGTGG